CTAAGTGTACCATCTTAAAAATTAGAGGCCTTGCAGCTCAAGTACCAAAAGTTCTATAAGTACAAAACATTTATGCTCATGGTTTTCAAAATCATTTGAAAAAGAGAATTTTTGAGTCTTCATTATGAAGTTTATGGACTAAGGCTCTGATACAAATTAAATTGTCACGCCCCGGAACTATCCGGACACGTCAACAATCCGCCGTACAATATGAATAGTCAACCGCAGTCCAACTCATCCATATTATACAAGGCGTCTCGAATATCATTCACACATAAGTCATCCATAAACATACATAATAAGTAATTGAATACGCAGCGGAAATCATAGTTTGGATACAAGTGCCACACGGGGCCAACACGAGCACGCAGACTCCATAATGAAAAACAATATCCATGAGCATGTTTTAAAATGTTTAAAATCAGAATGGAGGAAGCACGAACCAAGTCTTCCCCTCCGAGATGATCGCCTGATCAACAAGCACAGGTAGCAAGCTCTAACCTCAACCTGAAATGGTAGTGGGACGCCCCCCCCCCCCCCCCCCCCCCCCCCGAAAGGGGGTCAGTACTCTATACGGCTATAAAGTACTGGTGTGGATGGCATCTAATAGATATACAACAAGTATTTCAAACACAAGACCCTCAAATAGGGTGATAATATAATTCTAGGTCGTAACCCCAAGTTACCCCTTTTTAAAATATACTTACTTTATATATATAGTCAAGTAGTCGGCCCATGGCCCAAAGTTCGTTTTCAAATCATAAACCAAACCCCGTGACCCCTAGTCACGACAATACATAGGGTTCAACCCTAACACACATGTTGCATTTCTCGAGTCCAACTCGACTACATCACCATGCATATCAATCACAAGTCAATTACTCCACCAATCTCCAACGTCATGTTCACCCATGCAATTCTAGAGCTCGGCTCAAGTACATCTCCTTTTAAGGGAGCTCATCACCTAAGAACTCCAAAGTTAAGCGTGCTTGCATGGGAGTAGTCTTGGGATGGGTGACCCCCTGGGAAGTTTCTCAAGGCGAGCACGAGTGAGGACAAAGTGCGCGGAAAAGGCTAGTGGCGGTTTGTGGGGACAGTACTAGAGGTTAGAAGTAACTATCTCGGGGCCTACGGGGCCAGGGTGTTACACTAGACATACTCCTATTATGTTTAAGGTCAAGCTCTTTACTCTTAAGGCCATTCACAACAATATCAAGAGTGACATCATCTCTGCCATATTTAATAGCAGATTTAACATCATTATAAGAATCAGGAATAACATTAAGCAACACAACAGCAGTATAATCATCAATATGTTTATCACCAGATTGTTTAATGTTCTGGATCAACTTATTAAAAATATCCAAGTTTTCATCAATGTCTTTGGTTAGGTCTAGCCTAAACCGAAAGAATTTTTCAAGCAAAAACAGTTTACCAGGCATAGAGGTATCAGTATAAAGCTCATCTAACTTATCCCACAACTTTTTAGCAGAATCTAAAATACCAACCTTTCTAAGCACAGAGTCAGATAGGTTAAGATATTTAGTAGAGCAGGCAGTTTCATTCATTTCAGCTTTCTTAGCACTATCATCAGAATCCAAATAAAGTTCACTTACAACTCTGAAAACCTTTTGCTGGATTAAAACACATTTGATCTTTTGTTTCCAAATGTCAAAATCAGTTTTTCCATTAAAAGGTAACATACCATACATATTGGCAGACATAGGAGCAGACATAATGGTGAACACAAAAAAAGGATAACACTGAAGAATCAGTGGCAGAAGACAAGGTAAATGAAAGATAGCAAACAGAGAGACAGAGAACCAAGGAGCTAGGGTTCACCAGTGTACCCGGCTGCGGGTTGACAGGCCACACAGATCCGAAGGCCACTAGAGTGGCTGGCAGGGAAACTGTCAGTCCTAACCTCAGGCGCCGAGTCACAGAGGCAAAAAATCCCAGTTCACAAGGGTACCAAATAAGCACAAAAGGGCAGTAAAGTAGAGATAAACACGCAAGGGAGACAGAAACACGGAATACAAGTTCAAAACCTCAATCCCGCAAACACAAAACACTCATGCAGACCAACTTCACACATGAAGGTAAAGAGAACGCACCTAGGAATCGTCAGTTACAACTGACAGCCAGACCAACACGGTCAGCAGCAAGAGCAAAGCGGGGAAAGGGATGAAGCAAGTAAAAAACACCAAGAAACACACAAACCGGAGGCACCCGGCTACCTAGGGTGTTTATTGCCAATTTACCTGAGCGAGAACCCGAGGATGGGCTTCTCGACTTACCACTGAAACGGAGATCTGCGGCGGATGGCGGCGGATGGCGGCGGAGGAGCTCCCGGGCTGTAGACGAGGACGACAGGAGTTCCGGCTCTGATACCACTGTCAGGTTTTCACCTCTCCAGCTCAGACCACGCTCATACAGCACACACAACCAAGCACCACCGGAAGGGACAATCACACTCAGACCAGCCCAGCCATCTCAACGCACGCCAAAGGTCAGAAAAGGGGAAACACAGAGAGATCACCACAGAGGGACCGGAAGGAGAAGAGACAGGGAGTCTCTCTCTATTCTCTCTGACCTCACTCTCTCTAACCGAAGACCTCAGCATCAACCAAAGACGAAGAGGGACTTAAGTACCCGGGCAGCAGGGGGAAGCCCTAAAGGAGGGTTCCAGAAACAAGGCTAGCAGCAGAACAACATGGGCCAGGACAAAAGGCAAGCAAACAGGCCTAACAAGAGAAGAGGGCTGCCTTGGCCTATGGGCCAATACCTCCACATGATTAAATAATATACGAGAAGCACAATTAAGGGGTGTTTTGGATCTGCTTTTCACGGGCATAATAATAAGCAAGATTGTCAATAACTCTAATCTAATATAGGATGTTACCGGAATGAACAAAACAGTGAAACTCACTCTAATGCATTCCATCTGAGTAATAAAAAGGATACTACGTATTACACAAAAACGAGTTTCAAGATCTATATTATATATAAAAACTCAATAGTCTGTAGGGAATTGGGCGGGAAGTATTGTATAAGGAAGCAGCTGACCAGATGTTTTAATAACTTGGAAAAAAGCTACGTAAAATCTTGGTAAGTTAAAACAATAAAGCAAGACAAAGCATTGAATGTAGACGTTGTAATTGGATGATGATGGGCCGTGGAATAAATCACAATTACAATAATTGTCTTGAATTTGTCGATAACTTGAAAAAAGCTTCGTAAAATATGTATAAGCAAACTTGAGACATTAATTGCACACTAAGTAGACTTCATTCACCCAAATATTTACATTTAGTGATAAAAATGCTTTCACTAGACACTCTTTTTTTACGCTTGAAAGCCTGTTGGATAGCATCTGTTTTTAGTTTCACAATGTTTTTTATCAAATGCTTAATTTTTGACTTTACACACTAAATTCTATAATGATTAAAATAATTAAGATCCGAATAACTTTTTTAACTGAATTGATTGAAGTTAAAGTAAAAGACTATTTTACCTATTATGAAAAAAGTTATAATTAAAATATAATTATTAAGAAAAAAATGTGAAAAATGACTAAAATAGTGCTCTACAGTAATTTGAGTCAATTCAATCAGGAAAACAATTTCAACTTTATTTTTTTTGTATTTTTTCTCATGCAATTCTCCGTGCATAATTATAAGTTAAATGTTCGGTGAAAAATAATTAGACAAAGGGAAAAAGTGGGTCATCAAATGAGCTTATAAATACATGAAAAAAGTATTATGGTATCTTTAAAAAATATAGGGTAACTATATATACAAAAGATAAGTTCAATATCTATATTCTATGTGTATTATAAAATGCAAAACAGGAGCGGTTTTGGGCGGGAACTGCTATACCCTTAGTGTGCGCCGCCTTCTAGATTATTATTTTAATTGACTAAATACATTAATTATGTTGGCTGAATCTGTGTGTAACACTTGGCCTCGAAAAAGTCTTTTTGACTTCCGCATCTCTTTACCTATTTCCAATGCGTATATGACTTATAGTTTGCTGATAAATGTAGAAGTGGGTGGCTGGGTGCTGATAAAATACAACAACAGTGACACATCACTAATTGTATTTTAACTACTAGGTTTCTATTTTCCAATTTCCAATGCCTAATTTCTGAAACAAGAACGGTGGTCGATTGAGGATTTGGCAAAAAAGCATTATTGAAGATTCTTTATCATTAGAAATTATTATAGTGTGTTATTATAGTGTATAATCAGTGGGTTGGTTTAATAATTTTTAGTTTGTAATTATATATGGAGTATATTTTAAGTAAAGTTGAATATTTTTTATCAATTAGCATTCATGATATACAAATAAATGAATAATCACTCAAAAGGTTTAAGTAGATCTTTACTTTTGTAAATGAATATTTTTAATATTCTTTAACTAAACTTAAGAAGTATTTTGATATCTTATATTTCCTGTATTACTACATGTCAATATAAATACATAGTATATACTATTACCAATATAAATATGTACTATTGGGTAATTGCTTTTAGATAATTTTGTTATGCATGTTTTTATAGATTGGTTCGTGGGTTGGCGCGTTTACCCCGCAAGCTAGGTGGGCTGGGCTAGGGTTGTAGAAATTCTGACTCGTCATTAAACGAGTTGGCCCGTCACGTGAAGTATAACCTGTCACATGTCGGGTTGCACCGGGCCGGGTTGGCATGTTTGACAACTCTAATTCCCCACTAAATGTTTATACTTTTTTAATGTGTATGTTTTTTTGTAATAAAAATTATATATGAAGTACGTATTTAGCATTCTGTAATCTGTATGACAATTTATATATGTTTCTTTTTATTATACTCTGTATTCAAATACAGAGTATTATTATTTATTGTCATGCATCATAAATAATAACATAAAAATATTATCCTTAGCGTATTGAAATACCAAAAAGGTATTAAAAATATTATACTTTACGATACTAATTCAGCATAATAAAGCCTTAGCGTATTGAAATACCAAAAGGTAAAAAGTTCCATAACATTCATTCGTCAAGCTTCCTCTGCCTCCATTGCTCCTATATATCTCAAGGATCTAGGGAAGGACGTATGCCTTCCCTGCTGAGGTTTCATCTTTGTTACAACAGACTCACATATGCTCTCCAGCTCCTCTCTCATTTCATCAAATTCAAAAGCATCGCTATGTTGGTCATTCTCTTCTAACCATTCAACAGTGTTTTCAACTGCGTCTTTAAGAGTCATCCTGTCCTTCACTCTAACCCTCTTCCCACAGACACTCAGAATATCCTTTGCGTAGAGAATGTAATTCTCCAAATCATTTTTTGCTGCGGATGCTTTCTTGGACTCCTCATCTCGAGCGTTGTACACTTCTGCCTCCTCAACCATACGATCAACCTCATGTTTAGACAACCTCCCGCTGTGATTAGTTATAGTTATCTGGTTCTGGTTGTCACTGCCAACTAGTTCAGCAGATACAGTCAATATGCCATTGGCATCAATCTCGAAAATTTCATGGATCGTAGCAACACCTGCACGCGCTGGAGGAATGCCAGTGAGGCGAAATTCACCCAGAAAGTTGTTATCTTTTACAAAAGGCATCTCTCCCTCGTAAACCGAAACCCGAGTACTGGTTTGGTCATCATTAGCAGTTGTGTAGTCGCTCTTCATCTTTGTAGGGATAGGGGTATTCCTTGGAATCACAACAGACATTATGCCACCAACCACCTCACAACCAATAGATTATGGAGTGACATCCACAAGCACAACATCCTTAATCACACCCGAACAGGCACCAGTGAGGGATGCAGCATGAAAAGCTGCACCATATGCAACAGCCTCATCAGCATTTATACTTTTAAAGAGCTGCATACCCTCAAAAAGGTCCTGTAATAATTCCTCAACCTTTGGGATTCTGGTAGACCCACCAACCAGAACAATATCATGAATATCACCCTTCTCCATCTGAGCATCCTCTAAACACCTCTCAACTAAATCAATGCAATCATTGAACATATCCAAATTCATTTTGTTAAACAGTGCACGGGTGATCCTCAAAGAGAAATCGATGCCTTCAAAAAGACAGTCAATCTCGATAGAAGTTTCAGTAACAGAGGAGAGGTTTCTTTTGGCCCTCTCACAAGCTGCTCTCAGACGTGCAAGAGATCGAGGGTTTGAACTTATGTCTTTTTTGTGCTTCCTTTGGAATTCCATTACAAAGTGGCTAAGCATTTGGTTATTGAAATCGCTTCCACCAATGTGAGTGTCTCCATTAACTGCTTTAACTTCAAACACATCCCCCTTCATTGAAACGATGGATACATCAAAAGTGCCACCACCAAGATCAAATACCAGTATGTTCTTCAAACCACAATCACCACTTTGTTTTCCCTTTTTGTCAAGACCATAGGCAATTGCAGCAGCTGTAGGTTCATTGATGATCCGCAGAACATTAAGCCCTGCAATTAGACCAGCATCTTTCGTTGCTTGGCGTTGGGTATCATTGAAGTAGGCAGGAACAGTGATAACAGCATTCTTGACTTGTTTGGCTAGGTATGCCTCAGCAATATTCCTCATCTTCCGGAGGATCATTGAGGATATCTCCTCAGCAGCAAAATGCTTCTCTTCACCCTTGTATGTCACTGCAATCATAGGTCTCTCTCCACTTCCACTATCTCCGCCAGCTATGACTTTAAATGGCCAGTGCTTCATGTCATTCTGTACCGTTTCATCACTAAAATTTCTACCTATCAGCCTCTTCACATCTGTCATTCATAAGCAACAAACAAATGGTGTATCATGAGGGTCTATCATAAACTGCTAAAATTACAATCAAGTCCATGGCTCTCAAATTTGATGGCTTGTGAGGTTCATGACTTCATGGTATAAATGCATGATTATTGGGAATGCAAATTAAAGGAGGATATCAAACAAGTGGTCAGTGTGTGACATTTTAAATCAATAACAGATGCCTAAATTCAACTGTGCTTGCTGCGTCATTTTAATTTCTGGGTTCTAACTAGCACTTTTTTGTATGCAATTTGGCAATGAAACCGAACATTTCTGGTCAATTTGGTGGAGATTTAAAAGTACTACTTAAAATGTTAAGCAAAAAAGCAAAATATATAGAGAAAACAAGCTGAATACAAACCGAAAATGGTATTGGTGGGATTCTTTGCGGCCTGGTTCTGGGCAGCTTCGCCAATAAGACGTTCCAGTTCCGTGAATGCAACCCATGACGGCGTCGTACGGTTGCCCAAATCGTTGGTGATGATCTCAACACGGTCATGCTGAGGCTGCCATACTCCTACACAAGAGTATGTTGTTCCCAGATCGATTCCGATCGCCGGACCTTCTTCCCCTCCTAAAGTTGCTATTCTTCCACTCTCTACCATTTTCTTAGAGTTATCTTCTCTCTGTATTTGCTTGCAAGTTGTAATATTCACTTGACAGGGGAGAGATAAGCCTATATAAGTTTCTCGCGGACGGAATGTATGGAATAACTGAAAAGTCTGGTTTTGTCAATTGTGCTGCAGCTCTTATTACCGTTATTGGGATTGAGCAAAAAACTTTAATTTTTGGGCGGCAACTTGTAATACGGAGTAATTGTGAACGGTGCGATTCAGTTGTGTCCCAATAACGAGTAATTGTTATGGTTTATGGGTAATCAACTTTTCTTTAACATCCACAGAAAATATTGGAGTGAATCCTGTGTTAACAGTACGAAATCCGAATACAGTACGTACGTCCGAGATGGTAATAATCAAAGATTTTTTCAAAAATATTACGGAGCACTTCATACTTGGGGTCGTTTGAACACAAAATAACAGGCTGATAAGTCTGAGAGTGCAAAAAAATCTTCAAGCACCTACTAAGAGCCCGTTTGTTAACATTGAAATTGGCTGAATCGGCTGTTTCTGCTGAAATTTATGAAGTTTTGGCTGAAGTGACTGAATTGGTTGATTCCGCTGATACGTGAAAAAATTATACTTAAAATATATTTTATTGAAAAAATAAAGAAAAAAGTATATGAAAAAATAGCTAAAATGGTTAACTACAGTAACTTCAACCAATACACCCAGAAAAGTAACTTCAACCTTACTTTTTCTTATTCTTACAAAGTTCAACGTGTGAAATCAAAAATTACGTGTATGGTTAAAAAGTTGTCTGATAAGCCAAAAAACGGGGTTACCAAACGGGTTCTAAATTGGCTACTTGGACTGATTTTTCTTGTCAATCAAAAAAATAAGTGCAGAGTTACTTTTTCAACTGATATTAATTATTCTACCGTTGGCAATTGCAAAGATCCCTTTATCCCCGCACGTGTCAGTAGAGATCAACGGAAGACCGCCCTTTAGCTCACATGTATTCGAACATTACCCCAAGGGGGCGTTTGTTTCAAGGAATGTCATATTACCATGAGAATGTCGGATTACTGGGTATGTTAAATTGATGAGAATGTATTCAATTTATTCCCATTTGTGTTTGGTTAAGATTAAGGGAATGTGACATTAATGTATTTGGTTAAAAGATATCTTATATTGCAGATATGATGGATTACTTCAATGCCCATTAAAAGATATCTTAATTATTGAAAATTGAATTAATTATCCATACGGAGGGTTGACTTTTATTATTGGTTAACCAAAAAATGTTGACTTTGCAAAACAAATTGGGACGGAGGGAGTAATTAATAAAATCAAATATAATTGAATTATTTTTAAGTAGGTTTAATTGTAAGAGGTTGCTGATCCAATACAGAGATGAAAAAACTATGTTCAAATAGCAATCTAAATATATTTATTATCATTTCAAACAAACAATTTAAAAAATGATCAAATTATTCGTAAAACTTGTTTTCAAATTAAAGAAAAAATGATCAATTTTGCCATTAAATTTTGGAATACACTCATTAAAAACTCAAATAATCTATAAGTCTTATAACATAAATACCTTCAAAAATTTAAATGTTAAGGAAAAAAGAATTATGAAAATAACAAGAATAGACATTCAAATATAATTAAATAAACATACTCCATCTGTCCCATTTAAAAGGTTGTCACACAATCTAGATATTCGATTGACTATAAAATTAAGGATCAATGACAAATATATAACCGAAACAATGGTAATGAACAAAAATATGACTTAGTGACTATAATAGTAACTTTATTGACCATGATAGTGTTACAACTTTACATCATAGTGACTATGCATATTAACTGTAGTAATATTTTTGTCCATAACTTATATTTTAGTAAAATTTAAAGAAAACCTCTAAAATTAACTGATCTCTGTCAATAATAAGATTATTTTTAGTAAATAAAATATACATATTTAGAAACTACATTAAAAGTTTTATAAAATCACAAAAATTCAAATTTGATAAAGTTGAATACGTAGAGAAATTAAATGAAAAGCGATAATTAATTGAGGGTATTTTCGGAAGAAAATTGGATCATCCCTGGGAATGTGAGATAACCTAAGGCATGGAAGGGTATAACATTCCCCTCCATATTACATTCCCTGGAATGTAACTTTTCTGATTTTTTTCCAAAACCGTGAACCAAACATGAGTATCTAACATTCCAGGCATCACATTCCGACCTCAAAGTGAGATAACCCCAAACCAAACGGACCCCAATGATAGAACGATCCGATGAATCATTATATATCACTCAATATCCATAGCATAATGATTCGTATCACTTCCAAACAAAAAGTTGAATCTCCAACCCCAAGGGCCCCCACGTCCCGACCCGACAAGACTTTTTGGGAAAATGTTACACGATGACTCAGTCGACCCAATGTTGGTAGACCTTTTACCCGTGCGCACCAGAGGTCCAGCGCAGCAAGCAGAAGCTGTAACCTCCACACGGCCGTTGCGGGATTCGATCATGGTCATTCTTCCAACTTTTCAACCACTCAACCAACTGAGCTACCCGTGCGGGTCATAATGATTCGTATCAAAAGATTATCCCAAGTCCATCGACCTTCTCACTCGCTTCCCCTTCTATTGATCTGTGTTTTCTTCTCCTTGGTTCAGGAAAACTCGATTTCCATATTTTCTATCCATCTCAATTATGTCTTCATTCTATTAGAATATTATTTTATTGTGTTCAAATTTATTGTAATTTATTTAATGAGTCTTTGTAATTAATTAGATTAGTTGAGAGAAAATTAGGCCTGAATTAATTGCTCTACATAGCCCACACGCACAGCCCAATTTGTTTCATAATTGTAATAGGGCAGTTCGAACCACTCCCTATAAATAAAGGATGAGATGGCCGAAACTGCTCTAAGTCTCTACACATTCCGTTTCCACATATTTTCTCGCAGAGCACCTAGACTAGAAATTCTCTCTCAACTCTTGTTCGTGTATTGTGTATTGTTCTTCATGAATTCATCATTATTAATACACGGTATAAGTTATTGGTGAATTTCTCTTCTACTGTTTAAATTATTCCTATTATTCTTAGATTAGTCGACTGTTGAATTTGGGCTACATTCGAACACATTCTTCTTATGCCCATAATCTCTCTTGGTCTTGGCTTTGAATCATTACAAATGAGAATTGAACCTCTCAAATATCATTCGTATATATTCTTTTCTGTTTTTATGTTTTAAATTTATCTGAATTTTTAAAGCTCTTCGTTTCTAGGGGTAGAAATTTGGTGAAATTTGGCTTGATTTTCTTTACCCTAGGAAAAAATACTTTTTTTAATTAGTATTAGAATGATCTCATAAGTGGGCTGTGAAAAAATTGGCGGTACATTGGATTTTGAGTTTTCACGAAGAAAAGATGTATAACAATTGTAAGGAGAATGGTAGCAAATATAACGGTTCTGTACCTGTAGGCATGTATGATAATTCAAGTTGAGCTGAAACGCACAAAGTGACCAAGTTATCCAGTTGAGCTGGTCGTCGACTCGCTCTCCCTTATGGGAGATTGGGAGGTCCTGGGTTTGAAACTTCGTGAATGTAGTTTCAGCTCCTTTTACCTCAGGCTCCTCAAGCCCCTTCCCCGGGATAAAAAACAATTCAATGCGCAAAGTTAAATGTTGCGTGTTTCGAGAAAAAGATAACTGATAAAAATCATAAGCCAAAAATAAGGTTCATCAAACGAGCTCTTATCAGTCAATATATATATATGACACATACTCTTTTTCCTCCCTGTGTAGCCTTTGTGGTAGCAACTCAACATCCATAGGTTCTTTTGTACCACCACAGTCCACACCCACAAACAAGAGAGCAGTTATGTTCTCTTGGTAGCAAGCAAGAGAACAAAGTAACATTCTACAAACAAAGCCGCCATAGTGAGGTTTAAAAGAAACCTTGAGCTAAGATGTCTAGTCTCTTAAGCACTCATATAATGCCATAGTGGGACCGACATACCCTCATACTTATTTTAATTTTGCACTTTTAAGGTAATACTTTAAAGTCATTTCACATCCCATTTTACTTCTTGAATCTGGTATAAAGTCCATGTATGAATATTGTCATTATATTGGCATTGTCTACAATTTATTTCTACATATCTCCTCTTTTTCATTTTAATTTGCACAACACTTTTCTCTATATTAAATTAAAGTAATTATTCTATCTCTATCTCTCTCCTATATCACATAGGATGAATTTCACTACACCCCACTATCCATAGCTCAAAGACGTAGGTTGCCTGAAATAGTGAAATCTTTTAGCCAAAAATTGTAACGAAATTCAGCTTTTCAAGATCCAAAGTTTCTACTTTCTACAGCTTGCGGAAGAAAGATAATTAGAACAAAGGGTATGCCATGCTGGGTTCAAAGTCTACATTGCACAAAATGGTGAGAGCTAAGAAAATTAAAGGGGGGAGGCATATCAACAGTGGCAAAATTCACACCACATGCAGAAAAGGAGACTAAAACATAGGATATGATTTACATACAATAGGATGTTACTGGAAGGCACAAAACCGTCAAACTCTTTTGAATTGCTTCAGATCATTAAAAAAGCATACTCTGTTGGGCCTGGATTTGTTCGCAGGCCGGCCTACTTCGGAGGGAAATGTAAATTAAATGCTGCGAAAGGATTAAAGCCCAATTAGATGAATAAAGTGGCCACATAACGGAACTTAGTCAAGTTAAAAAGAAAGTGAAACGGATAAGAACGAGTTGGCTTGAGGAGAAGAAAACGGAACAACCAACATGGCAATAGGAGTGACTAATATCTCGGCTAAACAATTCAAGTCATTGGAGAACTCAAATTTTAATCATTTTAAATAGACTAGCGGCAAAGAAAAATGAGACGATCAATTCTGATCAAACAGCTTACTTTCACTCTTGTATTCACATCAACAATCACAAATCAATATTCAAATACATACTATATTTTTACTAGTTATAATTTATCTTGTGCGATTCCCGTTCATATTAT